TCCCAGTACTCGGAAGGCTGAGGCAGGAGGATCATTGTGAGTTCGAGACCAGCCTGGGCTACAAAGTGAGCTCAAGGCCAGCCTGAACTACATAGCAAGACCCTGTCTCAAAAAGACAAAAAACAAACAAACCAAAGAAAAACCCCAAATATCCTAGAATAGCAAAATCCCATAGAAAATTTCCTTCTGTCCTAGGTCTGAAGTCCTTTAGGGTGGGGACCAGGCTTATGAACTGCAGTGTCATCATTTGCTTTTGACCTCCCATTTCTCTCTCCCTACACTAATCCTTCCAGGGTAAAGTCCTTGTTGCAATTATCACCACATCTATAATGCTTACAAACCAGTCATTGCCTGATACAGTTCCCACCAGAGCTGTCAGGCCAACTGTATCCAAATTCGGGACCTTAGTCCCAGCTCTTCAAGGGCATTCATGGGTCTCAACTTACAGAGGCCCCAGGCTGACAGGGGCAAAGGCAGGTGGAGGGTATTTTTAGGTATGGGTTGCCAGACGGGCTCAAACACAGAGAGTCACCTGGCCTGGCGGCCGAGCAGGTCAGCAGGTGGCACCGGGAGCCCTAGTTGGTTGGTCCTTGTTGGGAGGAAACCCCAGGCTTTCCAAGGTGGAGATAAACACATAGTCCTGACTGGTGGGCACGACCCAGCCGTCTGGGCTCCTTTCCAGGTCTATGGCGACCACCCTTGCTCAGGCCACTTTAGCTTCTGGACAGTTGTAACTATGTTTCCCAGCCCTCTAGTGTCTTTTACACCTACCACTGCCAAATAAGAAAGCATGTCTTTCCACACTGCCAGTGCCACCCCTTTCTGCTCATGGAACAGCTGGCTTCCTTCAGGGATGAAGGGAGATATCATCTGTTGGCTCCTTTGTTTGGTGCTGGGGGTTGAATGTGGGGCCTTGCACACACAAAACACATGCTCTACCACTGAGACACACCCCCACTTCCTGTCATTCTGTTTTTGTTGGTTTATCCCCAGCAAAGAGTTGGCAATAACCTGAAAGTCATTGAAGAATGATTGAGTAAATTATGGTAGATCTACACACTGGCAGCTTATGATATTAAAATAGTCTCTTAAAGCAGGTTTGGCGGTGCACTCCTGTAATCCCAGCACTCGAGAGGCTGAGGCAGGAGGATCGTTGCAAGTTTCACACCAGCCTGGGCTACAAAGTGAGCTCAAGGCCAGCCTGAACTGCATAGCAAGACCCTGTCTCAAAAAGACAAAAAAAAAAAAGTCTCTTTACACATGGCTAGTAATGTCTATAGAGGAGATAATTGGGACTAGTATTAGGTGAAGAGGATAGTAATACCTCTGTGTGACAACCTGGTCTAAATTCTATAAAAAGAACAAATACTAAGAGGAAAGATTAGAAGGAGAGCTAACAAATGATCTATCAAGGGATCTTTTTAAATGCCAGGATTATGGGCATTGATTATTCTGTTTTTGCTTCTCTGTATTTTCCAAAATGTGTTTGCAAAAGCATATGATATTTTCCTCTGTGTGTGTGTGTGTGAGAGAGAGAGAGAGAGAGAGAGAGAGAGAGAGAGAGAGAGAGGGAGGGAGGGAGGATTGAACCCAGGGCTTTCATGTTGCACTAAATCCCCAGCCCTTTTTTTTGTTTTTATTTCAAAACAGGGTCTCACTGAGTGGTCAAGTTGCCCAGGCTGAGCTCGAACTTGCAATCTTCCTGCCTCAGTCTCCTAAATTCTGAGATCACAGGTGTGAGCCAGCAGGTATGGCTTAGTATTTTCAAACTAAGATTAAAAAGAAGTTATTTTAAAGAAATGCTGTACTGTTCCATTCTGTGTATCATAATTCATCCGCATGCATCCGGCACCCCTACCAGACTGAGGTTGTCTCCAGGGTAGAGATTCAGGTCGGCCTTCTTTCTACATCCTCCCCTGCCCGGTTCAGTAAATATCCACAGACAAAAAACAAAAAAAGTCTGCCCCACTGCTGGATGTCAGCTATGGAAGGGGAAAAAGAATCTGACTGTGCCTCAGTTTCCCTATCAATAAGTGAGTTGTAAGAATGAATCATGTAGCAAGATTGCCTGATAAATATATATTAAAAACAGCACAGTATTTGGGCTGACAGTCATGCTGCTGTCTACCAGGCGACTGAACTGTCCTGTGGAGTTAGGTCTTTTTGGTTGAAATGGACAAAAACTCCATTCGACCTATGTTAAACAAAGGCAGAGCATTTATGGCCTTACTTAATTAGGTTAAGGAAGAACTGGATTTGAGGCTTTACACAGGATTGTTGGGCTGCTATTTCCATTTGGTGTGTGTGTGTGTGTGTGTGTGTGTGTGTGTGTGGCCAAATTCCCAGGTGGCCTTTTACCCTTTCACCCCAGGGGCAGAAATTGTACCTCTTTCCCAAGAATTCCAAACTATTCCCCAGGATCACTTCAGACTGGCCCATCTTGAGTCACAGCCAGTCACCGTCTGTAGAAGAAATGCAGAGTCCCAGTTGGCCAGGCCTGGATCACAGCCCCACCCCTGGAGACAGTGAGTGGAGTTAGCCCCTTCCTAGAAAAGTACCTAGTGAGGGGTGAGTCCTAGAAGGAAAACTGAGGTGTCCGTGACCAGAAGAACTAAGAGTGCTGGGAAGGAGCCGGGCGTGGTGGCACATGGCTGTAAGCTCAGTGTACCTGTGATCAATCCTAGCCCTCAAAAGGCTGAGGCAGGAGAATTGCCACAAGTTGAGGGCAGCCCGGGGTACATGGCAAGATCCTGTTTCAAAAAAAAAAAAAGTGTGCTGAGGGAAGAAAAGAGCCTTAGATGTTCTGCATCTCAGGGAGTTTAGGTGGCTTTTTCCAGAGTCACCCAGAAAGGAAGATCAGGGACAGGGCTAAGGTGTAACGTCACCCAGGAGGAGAGATGGAGAGCCAGGACAGAGCCATTAGTGTAGGGTGGCTCTTTGGAGCCCGTAGCCTATGCCAGGGTCAGAACACTTGGTTGAAATCCCAGCTCCACTACTGTGAGATCTTGGACAAGTCTCTCAAGCCTTAGCTTCCTTATCTGTAAAACGGGCCCAATACCAGAACCATCCTTTGGGGGCGGAGGTATGCACTAGATTAAATGAAATAACACAGGGAAGGCTGTTAGTACAAGGCCTGGCATATTAAAACCGCTCAGTAAGTGCTATTTCTGGGGCTGGCAGTGTCGCTCAGTGGTAGATCACTTCTCCAGCATGCACGAGGCCCTGGGTTCAGTTCCCCAGCACTGCAGCTCCACTTATGATAATAAGCCAGGTAAGAAGGCCTGTGTTGGGCCTGGGATAGCTCAGCGGCACAGTGCCTGTGTGGCAAGCCCAAGGTTCTGAGTTCGAGTTCCAGTACAAAAAAAAAAAAAAGAAAAAGAAGGACTTTTCTGAAATGCCTGTTTAGGAGTGAGAAACGTAAACAGGTCCCATGAGCTGTTTTGGAACAAACCTACTCCATGCTGACACACTCTTCCTCATTCCTGCCTCCAGCCCTTTCCTCTTCCTAAATTCCTATCACTCTTTCAGGTCCCTCATAAAACCTGTTACCTGGGTGTGATTAAGTGGAAAAGGGGGAAATATACAGAATAACATACAGTGAGTAGATACTGCATTTATGCAAATATATGTGTGCTATGTGTGTGTGATTTTATTTTATTTTATTTTATTTTATTTTATTTAGACAGGGTCTTGCTATGTAGCCCAGGCTGGTCTTGCATTCATGATGACTCTCCTGCCTCAGCCTCCTGAATGCTGGGGTTATAAGTGTGCAACACCATACCTGGTATGTGTGTGATTTTAAATGTGTAGGAAACTTCTTTCTTTCTTTTTACAGATCTTTTATTTTTTTGGTACTGGGAATCAAACTTATGACCTTGAGCTCGCTGGGCAGGCTCTGTGCTGCTGAGCTATATCCCCGGCAGAAAGTTTCTAAAAGTCTGGAGAATAGGTGTTCACACAAAGGGAAAGCAAACAGAACCAGACCTTAGCTCTTTTTGTGTCTCCAGAACTCGGCACACAAGGGTTAGCCTTAGGGTCCTCTTCCTCTTCATCAAAACTACTCTTTATTGAGCTGGAAAGCATGTATAGAAGGCATGTATGAAGCTGACAGTTATCTTAGCAAGCAGCAGGGACTGCCATTTGACAGGTGGGGAAATTGAGGCACAGGGTGTCAATGTTACTTGGCCAAGGCCACCCTGAGCAGCTTGGCACAAGCGAGCCCTATGGATGTCTGGGAAGTGAACCCAGGACCCACTCCCACTCCACTGGTGGCAATCAGCCTGCAAGAGAAAATGCTTCCGCTATCACACAGTCCTTGCCTTCCGGACTGTGACATCCAGGACATCAGTGGCCACCAGGAAGCAGAATGAAGCCATTTCGGGGGACCCCGCTGGGCCGTGTGTGTGGCCTAAGGGTGATTTACTATGTGGTTTGCTGTGAGAAGAGCCTGAGCAGGAGACACAGGAGAGGAACGGTCCCTTCCCTGTCAGGGGCCGGGTAAGTCCCACCTCAGTCTTACCCAGTGGGCCTAACAGCAGGACTTCCTGTCTTCCCAGTGGTTCCCCTGGAATCACCTCCAGTACGGTCAGATTCTCTACAAAATCCCAGGCCGAAGCCAAGGGTCAGGAAAGGGAGGTCCCCTGTGGGTGTGGGCGGAGAGGAGCTGTACGCCGGTGCTGGGTTCCTCCAGGAGGACTTCACAAGGGCATGGGGAGGAGAGGAGGAGAAAGCAGAGGCAGGCTGTGCCACCGCTGGACTTCCAGGACTTCTCCTGCCTGCCCTGCCCCGTGAACCTGGGTGGGGTGACTTCAAAGGGCAGGGTGGGGTACAGTTTAATCACAGGTGCTTTGAAGATGCTGGGATGAAAGGCCTTGGGAGGAATAATTACATGAGAGGCATTCCGAAGGGGCCCAGGAGCTCAGACTGCAGTCTGCCTGCCTCCAGGAAGGGGGAGCTCCAAGGAGGCTCCTTAACCGGGCTGCGCTCCTCCTGGCAGCTCCAGGGCCGAGGCCCCTGCTCCTCACCCAGCCGCTGCCCGGCTGCACTTGCATCCCATCATCCTCCCCTGCTCAGCAGCCCAGCCTGGGGAGAGGGAAGCCTGGACCGGAAGCCTCCTGCACAGTCCTCAGGGCAGTTGCTGGTGATGCCTCCTGGCTGGAATGAGGAGGAGGCCTGAGGAAGGAGGAGGAGCAGAAAGGGGCTTGGTGTCTCCCAGACACTGAGACAGCCCAGGCCCCTTCTCCCTTCCCAGCACGCTTAGAGCAGGGAAAGGCTTGAGCCCAGGGAGGAGTGCTTCAGGAGAGAGTCACCGGAAGTGCAGGCTGAGCAGCGTGAGGTGGGAGCTTGGAACGTACAGGATGTATTTTTTGTTGTTAGTTTGAGACAAGAGTCCTTACTGTGTAGTTCCGGCTGGCCTTGAACTCATAGCGATCCTCCTGCCTCAGCCTCTGAGCGCTGGGATCACAGGTGTGCACCACCACGCCTGGCTTGGAGCTTGGAATGTGCTCACTCCTCCGAAAGACTCCATGTGCTCCTGGTGTGCCTGTGTGGTGGACTTAGGGAGAGGGTGTGCGGGTTCCACACTCGCAGCCTTAGCTACGGCCATACCTGTTCCTGAAATAGAGCATGATGGCGGGCGGGAGGGAGAGGGGGCGGAGAGGACGCTAGTAGAAAGCTTTTCCTCTGCTAACGCTCTGCTGCAGGGGCTGTTGTTGGAGCTGGCTTTGGGAGTTTGCCCGATGTTCCTTCTCCCTGGAGACCCTGGGGCAGGGGGTGTCAGAGGGCAGGAAGGGGACAGGCAGTGAATGGAGGAGGGGTGCCACTGCCCCGGGGCGCAGGCCCGTGACACGAGGTCCCTTATGCTTGTGCAGGGAGTGAGGTGCACGGGGAGCTGCCCAGGCTTTGGCTCCTCAAGGGTTGTTCAGCAGCAAAACACCTGCAGCCCCTGGGCTCCCACAGCTGCCTCCCAAGTGGACCCCATGAAGATCCTGCCAGGCCTTTCCCTTCCGGTCTCTGTCCTGAGCTCAGGCCTCCTTCTCCTCTCCTGGACCCACTCTTCTCCCGAGAGAACCTGTGACAGAACCCAGAAGAGCAGACTGTGTGCGCTGGGGAGGAGCAGGCCATGGAAGAGAATCCAAATGGGACTGAAGCAGAGGGAACCGGCAACTCCTACATCTTCGCCCTGGTCTGATCACACAGGTGCAGGTAAAAAGCAAATGAGCTATGTGCTTAGCATATGCACAGTTTTTGGTACATAAATTATAACTCTTAACTTAGGCTGGCCTTGATCTCAGGATCCTCCTGCCTCAGCCTCCTGACTGCTGGGATGACAGACACAACTGTGCCCAGTTTAACTGTTTTTTTAAAAAAGGAGCTGGGGGGTGGTGGCCGGGTAGACCTCTTTTTTTGGTCTCTTTTCCACTGCCCTGGTCCTCTGAGCAGGCTGACTACCAATCCTGACATCCCGCCCCGCCCCAATACCACATGCTCCTTCCTGGATGCTCTGCCCCTCCCAGGTGAGTACTTCCCCTCGCCCCATGGCTGTCATCTGAGGTTTGGGACTGGGAATAAATTTCTCCCCCACACAGTCTAGCTTGCTCTCTGCTCTCCCAGGTCCCCAGGCAGGTAACCCCAGAGCCTCCTGACTCCTCTCTGCCTCCTGCCTGGGTGTGACCAATCACAAATTCCTAACCCTTCTCCCTCCTCTCTTTCTCTTCCTCTGCCCCTGTGGCCAGACTATGCTCCCCAGGTTGAAGTCCACAGGACTTCTTTCCACGCTGCAGGTGCTGGCTGGTGCAGCCAGGCAAGAACTTGGGTTAAGGGAGAGAAATAGCACCTTTAGAGCATGATGCTTCCCATTTTACAGATGTAGAAACCAGGTCTCAGTACTATGAGCTGCTCACAAGAAGGGAGCAGGAGACTCACGGCCATTACTGCAGAATCTGGCTGTGCCTCCTCCCTCTGCCACACTACGAAGTCCTTGATTTCACTACATCAAACCTCTGGGCCTTTGCACATGTTACTACCTCTGCTGGGAACAATTTTCTCCATCTCAGCCCAGAGACCGCCCCCCCCCCCCCCCCCCCCCCCCACCCCCCCCCCCCCCCCCCCCCGACATCTCCAAGCTCAAGTCAAATATCTCTGTAACACCTTCCTTGACACCGGACACCATCCCTTTCTCCTTTGTCCCTAGGTGACTTCAGGATTGGGGCAAGCCATCTGCTATCCTGTCTTTCCACTGCAGAGCTGTGGGCCCGGAAGCTAAGACTCACATCTTGGGTTTGAAATGGGCCGTTACCATTACTGCTGTGAAGTCTTTTCTGTGCCTTGGTGGTGTCATCAATAAACTGAGGATAACATAGGCAGCTCCCTGGACTGTCCGACACCCAGCCCTCTGCAAGTGACCCTGTGCTCCCCACCCTCCCCCTGAACCCTGCTGCACTGCCATCCAACACCTCAGCAGCCCTGGCACCCCAAGCTAGATGGTGTGTGTCCTGCCTTTGTGAAAATGACTCAGGGCTGCATGTTTGCCCTCTCTGGTCTGAGCCCAATTTCCGGTGATTGTTTGGCAAGTCTGTAAGGCTGATGCATCCTGGTCATCCCTCCGCTTAATGTCACTTCCTTAATGCCAGCCACCACTCCACCCACCTACATTCACTTCCTGAATCAGAAACCATCAGCACGCAACTGTAATCCCAGAACGTGGGAGGCTGAGGCAGGAGGGTCACTGTGAGTTCAAAGCCAGCCTGAACTACCTATCGAGTTGTTCTCAAAAAAACAATCACAAAAAACCAAAACCAAAAACCGCCTGAAGAATAAACCAGAAACTGATAAACATGACAGGGAGGAACAGGCTGGGCCATTTTTTTTTTTGTACAGCATGACTTTCATGAATGTAAACATCTCACATCCGAAAAATGAAATTAAACCAAATTGGGGAAGCGGGGAGCATTTGGTCCTTATTAAAATTGATGAAATAACTACACAGAGTAGAGAATTACTTCAAGTTACTTCTAGCACTGTACTCTGAGAACACATCCAGAGTGAGCCAGGAAAAGATATTTCTGAAGTTGTTTACTCCATAGGTTTATTTTTGGCAGTAATACTAAAACTGTTATTTTAAACCTTACATGTATTGTAGGATACAGCAAGTAAACACATTAGTGTTATTAGGAATTATCACAGTCACTGCAAAAGACATAAATAGGAAGTGTTTCTTTGCCAGGCGTGGTGGTGCGGGCCTGTAATCCCACCACTTGGGAGGCTGAGGCAGGTGGTTTGCCCTGAGTTCAAGATCAGTCTGCGCTACAGTTCCGAGAGCAAGGCCAATCTGAACTACAAAGCGAGATCCTATCTCAAAACAAATTAGTTCCTGGTAGTTTCCCTTTGGGCCACAGTTGATGCAGACTGTGTGGCCAGGTGTCCAGCACAGAAGGTCCCCTGGGCAGGGGAAGGAGGGGCTGGGGACTCCAGCCTGCAGCCCCAGCACCACATCAGCCAGGTGGGGGTGTGGGGAAAAAAATGACACTTCGTGGGTTGACTGCTGGTTCCGTGTGACCGGGTCTTGGGAGTCACTGTAGTTCCAGGGCCCCGCTGTTCCTCGGCTTTGGGCAATGCACCTGGGTCCCTAGTGTCTGATAGGGACCCAGCTTTGTCTGAACTTCACACAGGGGTGCCAGCAGGAGCCCCTCTTCCAGGTGCATGAGCCAGGCTTTGGTGTCACTAGGTTGTCAGATGCCAGCCCTGGAAGAGGCACTGGGATATGTTTAGGACCACACAGAGCCCACGAAACCGTTTCAGAGCCCTCCTTGCTCCCAGGCTCTGCCACCAGAGTGTTGCCCCTAGAAGTCATTTAAACCCTGGACTGTTTCTTTGGAGGACAGGGCCATGAACAGGTTGCATCTCCAACTTTTTTTGAGACAGGATCTGTGTAGTCCGGACTGGCCTTGAACTCACTATTTAGTTCAGGTTGGCCTCAAACTCTGTAGTGATCTTCCTGCCTCAGCCTCCCAAGTGCTGGGATCAAAGGCGTGCACCACCACACCTGGCTATCACTCAGAACTCCTGTGTGCATATCAACCTGGTGAGGAGCTTGAGAACCAGTGGGCTGTGTTGTGTGCACACCCTCAGCCCCACCCCAGTGCTCCTGAGTCAGACGCTTCACTGTAACAAGATTCTCAGGTGTCACCTGTCTACACACAAGTTCTCCAAGACCCCCTGGATGTAAGGCGACAATGACCTCAGCCACGTCCACTTCCACAGTTAGGGTCTTATTCTCAGTGACCTGTACTACTCAGGCAAAGCTCACTTCTGGTCTGCTGGGAAGAAACTCCAAGGCCAAAGAGGTGACAAAGGGTTCTTGTGTCACTTTATTCTTTTCTACTTTATTACTTCAAATTAACAACCACAATAAAGCTCAAAAAAGTCCAATATTTACACAGGAAAAAAGTACAAAATTCCCCCCAAAGTTCTTCAGTATTTTTTTTTTCAGTTTTTTAAATTATAAAGTAATAAAAAGCTTTGCTCTTTAAAAAAAAAAAAAAAAAAGAAGGGGAAACAGAGGTAAATAAATTAGGAAATACACACATGGAGAAAACAAACAAAAATAAAAAAAACAGATGTCAACTAGAAAGGATGAAGAAATCCAACACTGAGCCCTGACTCCAGGCTCCTCCACGAAAAGGCAGGACCCGGGGAGGGTGGACCTTGGGCGACTGTCGAGACCAGGGAGTGACTGATGAGACACTGCCGACGCTGTCCGGGAGAGCCTCCACGGATGGACGCTGCCTCGGACCAGGAGTGGAAGATGGGGCCGCCACTGGCTGGCACTGGGGAGTGGTGGCAGGACCCTCTGTGCCCTGAGTGATGTGGAGGACACTGTCCCCCCATCCTTGTTGGGGGAGGAGAACAGAAGCTTGGCCTGGCAGGTGGGGTGGGCACCCGCTGTTCTGGGATCACAGGTCACACGCACACGAGGCAGCGTGGCCCTCGCCTCTCCACCCATGGGGGTGGGGTCTTCACGAAGAGGTGCCCAAGGGACCCGAATGCCCTGGAGGATACCGGGAGAGCCCAACACCGAAAGCTGCCCCCTGGCGTCTCAGAGGCTGGGACTCGGTGTGTCTGTTTGGCTGGTTCTGAGGTGCCTGAAATCCGCTGGGACCTGCCTTCTATGACCACGCCGCTCCGACACGTGCTCCTCGGGCCACCTCCGACCGCGGCATCTCCAGCGCTGAGAGGGTCCCCTCCTGCAGGTGCTGCGTAATGCAGGGATGGGTGGCTGGGGTGGGGCCGTGCCGGCTGGCTCCTGTGACCTGGTGTTGTGGGGGAGCAGGTGGCAGCCTGAAGGCTAGGGGCAGTGGGCACGGCAAGGTGACCAGAATCCTCAGTGTGAAGGGCATCCTATCTTTTTGCCACTGGCAACATAAATCAAAGAAATAAAATCCATCGTTGGTTTTGTGCTGGGTTTTTTCTTTTTGTTCATTTGAGTGGTTTTTTTTTTCCATCATTTTTTGTTTTTTTTTTTAAAAGAAAATACAGTGAAGACACTAGACGGGAGAGAAAGAAGACAGATTAGGCGCCTGGCTGCCTGTGTCCTCACATCGGCCGAGCTCCCTCCAGCTCCTGCCTTCCTGTCCCTGAAGCTACATTCTGCGGCCTGCAGCCAGCTGAGGACCCAGGATGCCCTCCACTTCCCTGCATATCCACCTCCATTCTGGGGAACGGCCACCCAGCTCACGCAGCTGCCCGCCCTGCATTAGACAGTCGGGCTCCCGGGCCTGAGGGCCGATGCAGCTAAGCCCTCTCTGCAACCCAGCTCCATCTGCAGATGTATTTCTGCAAAGCCGGTCATGCTAGTGGACCGAGGTGAGCTGAGTCCCTTGAAGGGTAAACTACTGCCCACTAATACACACATTCCCAGGGAGCCCGGACAACCCCACCTACCCACACCCAATAGCTCATGGGCTGTAGTAGGGCTCAAGCCCCTGTTAGGAACTAACTTCCCAGAATATGTTAAAAAAAACAGGGACAAGCTGGGCATGGTGGCACACGCCTGTAATCTCAGCACTTGGGAGGCCGAGGCAGGAGGATCACCACGAGTTTGAGGCCAGCCTGGGGTACAAACTGAGTTCAAGGGCAGCCTGAACTGCTTAGTGAAACCCTGTCTCAAAAAGCTAAGAAAGAAAAGCAACAAAATGGGGACATGGGACCAGCCCAAGGGCAGGAACATGGTCTTTCGACCCACATGGGGCTGAAACTTAGCACAGGAAGCTCAGCCCCCAGCTGGGGCAGGCTCTGAGGTTTTATGCTTCTAAGGACCCTTGGTTTGGGGCCACCCTCCACCACACCTGGTCTCCGCTGGGGCCATCGCTGTGTCCAGCACTCACCTAAGCAAACACTGGTCCGATGGTGGCTCTCCTCACTTCCCGAGGTGGTCAAATGGCACGCTTGTCTTCGGGGAGCAGGCAGAGAGATGGGGTACAGTAGTAAGCTTCAAGACAAGCCCCTATGCTGCCGGCCATGGAGGGTTGGCAGTTCTCTCCCCACCCTGCCAAGTCCCTCAAGCCGAGAGAAGGGGTGTGGGCTCCCAGGGGCCCTAGGACATCCCTGCTTGCTCTGGAGGACAGAGCATCGCTCAGGGAGGGGAGGCACAGCAGCTGCTCCAGGCCACCCTCAAGATGGTGCCAGGTCCTCACAGGCAGGATGGGGGCAGGTCTGGGACTCGACCAGGGACCAAACCTGGTCCATAGCAAGGGCCGTCACATTGGACTTCCCCTAGCCCTCTAATCCTGTGCTTAGGATAACTGCGGGCTTCCTGGTGACAGGATAGACCCTGGCGCTACTATTCTCCAGGGACAATTCGATCTGTTTCTGGCTGTGCTTGGTGAAATGGGCTCAGGACACCCCAGGGGATTAAATGAGGCCGCTTCCTGTAGCTGGGGGCTCCGTGTGTCATGGCTGCTCACCTGTGAGGCTGAGATTCGGGAAACCTCTTGCCGCCCAGTGAGGTCCGAGGACGAGACGTTGGCGGGTGCGCCCCTGTGCAGCCTCATGCTCACCTTCCTCTCCCGGTCGACCCGAGAGATCGCTCTGGGAGAAGTATTGCCTGGAGGGAGACCAAGGCGGGAGCACCCTCAGATGGGTACCAGGGGACCCGACTCCCAGGGACAGCCCAGAGCCCCAGGCTGCTACTGACCAGCTTGCTGGATGCGGGAGGCTGGGGTGGAAGCCACAGGCTCGGCCGCACTGCGGAGCCGGTTGGCAGTGGCCCCCGTGGGTGGGCCCGGGGGCAGGGCTCGCGTGGCGGATCCGCGCAGCTGCCCCATCCTCTCCTCGCGCTCGTGCTCCCGCCGCTCCCGGTCCACGTCCTCGGGGTTCCGGGCTGCACCCTGCAGAGACAGGAGAGGGGACACCGGTCAGCTCAGAGGCCACGGTGTGCTGGCCCTCGGCCTCCTGGCAGATAGAGCAGGAACCCGTGACCCAAGAGAGCCAGAAGTAGTGCTCGATCACGCAGTGCGGACAGACGAAACCGCACGACACCCAGAGGGAGAAGGCAGGGTCTGGGGAGCTCAGGCTCCCTGTGCAACTGGAGTGGGGGTGCCAAGGCCCTAGGATGACCAAGGTCACCCCTGGCCCTCTCGACCTGGCCCGCTCTATGTACCAAGCACCCTCAGCCCCGTAAGGCTTCCAAACCAAGCAGGGAAGGCAGTCAGAGGCCCACCTAGCGCACAGGCAGGGGATGCCCAGAGAGGAAAGGACAGGTCCCGAGGGACAACACTAGGTGAAAGCAGGGCCAGGGCCTGGCCCAGGTCCCTTGGGCTCTTTTCACCAGTCGGCCACCCATGCCCTGCTCTCAGGCCCGGCCATGACAGGCAGGTGCTACAGGGCTGCAGCCAGGAGGCCCAAGGCACCCGCACAGATGCTGCCTGTCATGAGACAGTAGCTCGGGGGGCCAGGGAAGGAGCTGGGCTGGATGTCCCATGGAGAAAAGAGGCCCTGCCCTCTAGCTGCTGCCACCCCCCCCAAGGAGGAAGTGAGAGGCCCGGAGAGGCACAGGGCTGGGAGCAGCGCCCACTGGTTACCTAGTCGGTCCCGGGGCCGTCCACAGGGAAGGGCGGGGGGCTGGCATGAGGGGGGCCGCATCTGTGGAGGAGAGAGCTGTGGGCTGAGTTGGGGGCCCTGCTCAGGGGCCATCTTTCCCAGGGACCTGGCTGAGAAGGCCCTGCTGCCTAGGGAAATGGGGTGGGCCTGAACTCCTGGGGGCAGTGGCCAACATCACAACGATCCTCGATGCCTAGTGAGGCGCCAACCCAGGTCAGTCACTCCCCCTGGCACCCGGCTCGCACTGTGACCCCTTGCCTAGGCCCCCTCTGAGGCCTGGAGTCCACAGCCGGTCAGAGGATCCCACAGACCACAACAGCAGGAGCAGAGCTGGGGGCTGAACCCCATCTTCTGCCATCTGGTTTCACCGTACATCCCAAGAGGACACTTGCAGAGACCCGCCTCGGGGAGCTCCCATTCCTCCCACACAGCAGCCCATGGGCGGGCTCGGGAGCACCAAGACTCCATCTCCTGACCTCCGCCCTCACCCTGGGCTCCACTGCTCAGGTACTGGCTGCAGAGACTCAGCCAAAATCACAGTCCACCTCGAGAGACAATAGTGACAGCACTCACCCTGCGGCAGGGCCAATGCCATCCCCTGGCTGGAGAAAGTAAGGTTTGCTGAGGCTATGTGGTTCCTTCACACGTGCGGTGACAAGAACCCAGTAGCTGTATGGGTGACTGGAAGCGGGCCCCCGGCCACCCCAGCAGGCTCGGGCCAATGCCAGGCCCCCAGCAAGAGGAACAGTGTGACCCTCTGCGTTTCCATCCACCCAAGCGGCGCCTCGACAAACGCACACCAGGGAGAGCTTTTTTGGTCTTTATTTGCCCACAAGAAAGCACAAAAGATCAACACCAAAGTCACCCAGGCATCCACTGCGTCGTGTGTGCGCCATCCTTGGCTGTGTGCAACTTCCTCCTGGCCAGCTGGCTGGACCTCAGAACACAGGGCACTGTGTACCCACAGCGTGGCATCCCAGTACCAGGTATCTGGGGACCCAGCGCCCTGACGCTGATGCTCAGCAACATGGGAGGCCACTTCAAGGTCAAAGGCAAGATCCTTCCTGTGTGGGAGTCCAAGCCCAGCACGGAGTCCTGTCTGTTGGTGCGGCTTCCTGCAGGACGGGCAGGGGCCAGCCTGCACGAAGTCTCCATGGTGTGTTCTGTACGTGCTCCCGGCTGGGGATTGTTGGGTCTGGTTAACCTTGGCGGTGACAGGGCCAGGTGCTAGTAGAGGACCTCTGCCCAGCTTCATACTCCAGAGCTTGCTCCAAGAGAACCCCAGAAAGGGGGTCGGAGCCCCAGCAATAGTGGGGAGGGTGCGCCTGGCCTGGCTTGAGAGATCCTGTTGGCTGGATAGTCCTGTAGCGATGCTGTGAAGGAGGCGTCCGGAGTAGCACTGTCCATAGAACTTTCCAGGATGATCAAAACGAGCCCATCTGCCCGCCCAGCCACTGTTCCTGAGAACTCGAAATGCGGCGATGGTGACTAAGGAACTACATTTTCCATTTTACTTAAATTTTATTCATTCAAGTTAGCACCACATAGCCAGTCGAGGACACAGGTTTAAGAGAAGAAAGACCCACTCTGGAGCCATGAACCAGACTTGGACTCCCAGGCCCTTGACCACACTCCAAGCTGGAAGATGCCCCACCACTTACCTCTCACCCTATCCCTAGAGAGAAAAGTAACAGAGGCCCCTCCCGTAGGTCCCTAGCATGTGACATCGATTCTCTGCCTGACCTCTGTCTGCCACCTTGGAAAATAGGACCAGGCCGTTGTCTAGGGCCCAGACAGAAGAGGAGCTCAAGAGCAGTGTGCTTGGTATCCAGGAGACCAACGACTTGGTCCTCAGCACCTGGCAGGGCAGGGCAAGGCCACGCTGAGAAAGGAAGCATAGCAGGACGGGACACGCGAACATTTAATGAGATCACGTTCAACACAGAGGCTGCTGACGGTCCTCCCATCCAGGATCACCAGGCCCTTCCTGGCAGGGGCCATTATCCCTTCTTCACGCGTGTTCTGGCCCTTGGGCAGCTGATTCATTCCTAAGAATCCCTCGCAGGGCCTCTTCTGTCATACCAGTGCACGGCCTCCTCTTGGGAACAGCTTGCCATCCCCACTGTCCCAAACAAACGACGCCCCGCCAGGCCCGGCCTCGCTGGGCTCGGGTACACCGGGCGATGTCAGAACTGGGGCCCTGTAGTCCAGACCACAGGCCAGTAGTTCTGTGGTGGCAGCTCCTCCACCTCCTCCACCTCTTCTACAGGTCTATCTGGGGGGCCTTGGGTGCCCAGGGTCGCCGGGCACCTGGAAGTGACAGAGAGAGTACAGCTGAGGTTCAGCCTTTGCGCTCACTGGCTGAGTCGTGAATCTCAGAACGGTCGGGCCTCGCAGGGTCCTTACCAGTATGTGGGTGAGCACAAGGGCCCGGCACGGGGCCAGGGATGGGGGCAGGGCGGTGCAATAGCTTCGCTGTTGCGGGGCTGAGCCTGGCTCGTGGAAGCCCCCTTTTCCAGAAGAGATGTGAAAGAAGACATAGGGTTTCACGGACTCCAGAGCTCCAGGCATGGCTGGCGAATGCTTCTCCCCACCCCACCCCCAGGATCCTTAAAAGAGGGAGACAGAATGACTGCCTAGCAAGACCCAGGGTCCCAGGACCAGGAGGAAAGAACCCACTCTGCATGGGTCCAGGCTGGCCACGGGGGACTCGGAGGAGAAGGCGGCCACCTGGGACACGAAGGACAAGAGCAGCAGGAGGACGGTGCAGGTGGCCAGCAGGGCAGCGGGTGGGCCCGCCAGCACCGCCCATGCCTCGCTGGCCACCCTGATGCAGCAGCAGAGGGGGCGCTTAGGGACCCCAGTAAAGTCACTTGCGCTGTCCAGCTCATACCTCCCATCGGCTGGGAGCCCCGCCCGCCACTGGGTCACGTGGGCCCTATGAGTCAGGGGCTGTCCCATCCAGTCCCCCAAGCCTGCCTCGGCCTTCAGGTGACTCACGAATTTGAGCATGTTCCAGTCGAAGACGTAGTCGTAGGAGAAGCCCTGCCGGTGGAAGAGGTTGCGGAAGAGCTGGCGCAGGTAGGAGTAGTCGGGCTTGTCGTCGAACCGCAGGGAGCGGCAGAAGTTGAGGTATGTCGAGAACTCGGCTGGTTGGGGGCACACAGGACAGAGGCGCCACAGTGAGCTCCATGCCCTGAGGTCCCCCAGCAGCCACCAGTGCCCTGGCCACCAACTGTCCCCATAGATTCTTTCAACCGGAGAGGAGCAGGATGAAGAGAGAACCAGCTCGCTGAAGAGCAGGGCCGCTTCCCGTAACTGCCCCAAGGACCTGGGTCACGGCTCCTTGCCCACCCCCACCCATCACTGCGCTCATGGAGACCCGAGCTACAGGTGTTCAAGAGCCCAGCAGTGAATGTGACCCCTACGTGACCCCAGCTACAGGAAGAGAACTTCCCTTCCCCCATCCGCCCACTCAGGCTGGGAGAGGGCCCTTGGGAGATGAGCGTGGGCTGGGGACACGGCGGGGACAGCCAGGCCCGGGCTGTGCAGCAGCAGAGCACTGTGAGTAATGCTCTCTGGGCTCGGGGTGGCCCTGACTTGCCCTCAGACACAGGAACTGTCCCCAGGGCTAGCTACTCACAGGGGTAGCCTTTGCAGAGGACCTCGATGGGCGTGGACATCTTCTTCTCACTGATCCGCTCATACTTCTGGCGCTTGGTGGCTGCTTTGAGGCCCTGCCAGGGCAGGGAGCCCAGGTTGAAGTACATGAGCACGTAGCCCAGGCTTTCCAGGTCGTCGCGACGGCTTTGCTCTGCAAGGGCAGAGGGGAGGTGAGCGGCAGGCTCCCCAGCACCCCTTGGCTCACTGCAACCCTGGTTTACCCCGCTCTCCTCCTCCCACGGGGGAGGGCCTGAGGCAGAGCTCTCTCAGCTCTGTCTGGGCCCAGTTCCTCCAGCTCAGCCGCTATGTCATTCACCAACTACGAGTGGGCACCGCTACCCCCTCGCCTGGCCCACTGCACAGCAAGGGCACAAGCCGTGGCATGAGATGGGCCCGGGGTCAAATCTAGCTCTTGCACTAACTAAAGTTCATGTTCTTAAGCTGCCTGGGTTAAACCTCTGTGCCCACTCAACAGAGCTCAGGATGGGGGCCAGTATCCATACCTCTATGAACGGGGAAATGGGGACTGTCTCAGGGAGGCCCCCGACAAAGTCCCCAGGAGCCCAGCATGGTGGCACATGCCTGAAATCCCACCACGTGGGAGACTGAAGCAGGAGGATCGCTCTGAGTTTGAAGCCAGCGTGGGCTACAGAGTGAGTTCAAGGCCAGCTTGAACTACATAGTAAGACTACCTCATAAAACCCCAAAACAAATCAAAATCAAAATCAAAAACCAAGTGTCCAGGAGCCTCCAGCCAAACACAACTCACCAATGCCCAGGTGGGTGTTGATGGAGGCATAGCGGGCGGTGCCCGTCAGGTTCTTGTTTTCCCGGTAGGGGATGTGCTGGTGGGTGCGAGCGTCCCGGTACTTCTTGGCCAGGCCAAAGTCAATGATGTACACCAGGTTGCCTTTCTTCCCTAGGCCCATGAGAAAGTTGTCAGGCTTGACATCCCGGTGGATGAAGTTCTTGGAGTGGATGTACTCAATTCGGCTGATCTGGGGGTAGGAGGACAGCAGTCATTTAGCAAGGGCTCAACAGAGGGGCCTTCACCACAGTGGGCTGGGGCCAGCAGTGGGACCCCAGAGATGGCCGATGACACACGGTCCCTACACTGGCCAGAAAGAAAGATCTGTCCTCAACTGTGAAGGATGATTTCAAAGGGCAGGCCAGAGAAGGCTTCCTGGAGGAAGTGACATTCGGATGAGCTCAGAAGAAGTTCATAAAACATGTTGTGAGACAGACCAAGAGATGAAGGAAAAAAAATTAACAGCAGATGCAGAAGCAAGGATCCAGCAGGCAAGGCAACTGGGCCTCTGCAGAAACCTGTGGCATAGTTCTACTGCAAAACCCAGGGTGCCAAGGGCACACAGCGGGCAGAGTGGGGAGACGGAGGGCGGGGTGGGGGGGATTTAAACACAGGAACTCGTCACCTAGCTCTAAAGGACACCAAAGTCACCCCTTCTGCCTCGCTTCCCTTTAAGGGATTTGTTTTGTTTTAAAAACCTTTCTTTTCCCTTTAAGGGATTTTCTGAAGCTCAAATTATCCTTGCACATGATGCGTCCTCAGGCAGCTCCCGCCAGCTCTGGGCCTCAGGCTGCAGGAGGCTGGGAACTGCCCGGAGCCGCTGTTTCACCACCAGACTAGGAGGTCTTCTCCCTTCTCCCTGTACGGTGCACACTTGGCCTACAACTGCAAGCTGTGTGCAGCTCTGTAGGCCAGCTGCAGACCAGACCATAAAGAGATCGGCACATTTCACATCAGGTCAAAACTGTATTAATATAAACACACACACTTCTAAAAAGCAGTGCTGGGGATCAAATTCAGGAACTCACGTATTTTAGGCAAATACTTCACCACTGCACTACCTCCCCAGTCCTGGTTTTGTATTTTTAAAAAAACTTTCCTTTTGGTCAATCTAACACTTACTCTGGCCTAGGTACTGCCTAGCACCCCCGTATAATCCCTACAACTGGCAAAGGGGGGACTCCCGACAGGTGACTGAGCCTCAGAGAGGCTGAGCAATTCATCTCTGTGCCCCACACAGGGAGGGACCCAGCCCCCAGCCTGTGTGATCACAGACTTTAAAATCACAGGAGGAGAGTGCCGGGCCCCACCCCAGAAGCCCGGCTTGGCAGGCTGGAGTCAGGCCTGGAATCTGTATTGTAAACATACACCCCAAGACGGCTATGTCCTTGTCCCTGCCTCCTCCTCCAGCAGCCCCGAGGCAGGATGCAGAGCTGGTATGGTGTACCCACTGGCATGATGGGGAAACAGAGGCTGAGGGGGAAGCGGTCTGGCCCGATGGGGAGGTGGGGGGACTCACCATCTGGTCGGCCAGGAGCAGCACCGTCTTGAGGCTGAACTTGCGGGAGCAGAAGTTGAAGAGGTCCTCCAGGCTGGGCCCCAGCAATTCCATGACCATCACGTTGTAGTCACCCTCAGCCCCGCACCACTTGATGGATGGGATCCCCACTGGGGCCGGGAAAGAGGGTCTGTCAGGGCCGTCTCCCCCCAGCCCACATCATCTGCATGGGCACAGCCTCATCCCAAGCGTACCCTTCCTGTAACACCTCCCCTGCATCATCTGCATGCTCACAGCCCGCCCCCGCCCTACCCACCTGTCCTCCCCGGAACATCTGGACACTCACAGCCCCGCCCCAGCCCCTCCTCGCCTCACCTCCCCCCTGCATCATCTTGTAGAACTTGCTCTCGATGTGCAGCTGCGGGTGCTTCGTCTTCACGCACTCTAATTTGATGGCCACTTCTTCACCAGAGGCGATGTTGGCACCTGCCAGGGGCAGAGGAGGCAAAGCACCAGTCATCCTGCAGGTTGGGTGGTCCCCAGGCTGCTGTGCCCCACGCCTGGGGTCAACCTGACAGCTGCCCCCCAGGTGCTCAGGGCCTCTGGAGGAGGCTGGAAAGGCACAAGGGGGCGCTGCAGGGCACAGAAGGGTGGCAAGGGGAGGTCAGCAAAGCCTTCCAGAGGGGAGGGAACAGCAGCAGGTACCCAGGGCAGGATGGGAGATGCGCTGAGCTGCCCAGGGAACCTGGGTCAGACACGGCAGGAGCCTGATGCCTGGGGTGGAGGGCGCACAAAAGGCTCAGAGACCAGGTAAGGGACAGAACTGAATCCTGGAGAGGGAAGACGCGCTGAAGGGGACTGCAGGAGAGAAGGGCCCGGGAGCCCACCTGGACCAGCCCGGGCACCGGGAAGCTTAGCAGAAACAGCCCAAGACCAGCCAGTGCCCCGCCCAGGTCCACAGACACCTTCAGGGGCTGCCCCAGGTATCCACCCCAGCCCTCCTCTTCTCTCCCCTGTGCAGGTGAGAAAACAGTTGGGGTCACAAAACTAATAATGCTCAGCTCAGCTGGCTTCTGTGTGTGGGTGTGAGGGTGCCACATGCACCCCCTCACCTTTCCCTACCCACCCCCCGCCGCTCCTACTGCAGCCTTGAGGAGCTCTGTCTAAAAAAAAGCATGCACCCCAAGGCCCAGCTCAGCCTGGACATACCACACGGCTCAGGAACTCACTAGAACAAGCAACTACAAACGGTACTGTGCCTCAGTTTCCCTAGTTCCAATGGGTGAGCTGAACTGGAGGCCATGGGGCTACCGTCAGGGGCAGGCGGGGGCTTCCCTCGCAGAACCAGGGCTGAACTGCAACAGCATCAGACAGGCAACCGAACAGAACGGCAGCAGACACAGCACCAGAACCTGAGGACAATATAGCCGATACAGCCGGCACCTCCAGTCAAGGGTGAGGCAGGCCAGGGGTGTCGTTGGCACAACTAGCTCACCACAACCAGGACAAAGCCCACAGAAGCCAGAAGCGTCACAAGGAAGGAAGCAAAGCACCAGTGGGCATGGCCTCTTTCATGTGTCTGGTAGAGGTCACGAACCCAAGCACACAGCAGCAGATGAATGGAGGGACAGAATGTGGCCTGTCCACGAGGTGGAGTATTATTCAGCCATGAAAAGGAACAAAGTGCTGATACATGTCACCACAAGGGATGACTTTTAGAAGTGTTCTGCTCAGTGAAAGAAGCCAGACACATGAGGACAAGTAGTAAAGGAAATGCAAATCTACTGAGACAGGAAGTACTGGCTGTCAGGGGCGGGAGGGCAAGGGAGTTGGGAGCAGCTGCTTATTGGGTGGAAGTGCCAAAACATGTTTTGGAATGAGACGGGGTGACGGTCTCACAATACTGCAGTAAAAGCCACCAAACTGCACACTTTTCTTCATTTGGTTCGGGAATGTCACCTCATTTTTTAAAAAGGGAGAGAAAGAAGCTGACAGTTCTGACTTGACATCAAAGCACGCAATCCTAACCACACAGTTTAGGGGTGTAAGCGTGATAAAACTTTCAAACAAGGAAGCAATTTAGTGGTGACACACGCCTGTAATCCCAGCCCTGGCTGGGGTGGGGGCCGAAGCAGGAGGACTGCAGACAGTTTGAGCCCAGCTTGGCTATGTAGCCAGAGCCTTTCTCAAAAAACTAAAATAAAACAAACAAAAAAGGGAATAATTTAAAAAGTCAACTGGGCCAGGCATGGTGGTGCAGACCTGTAATCTCAGCACTTGGGAAGCTGAGGCAGGAGGACTGCTGTGAGTTGGACACCAACCTGGGGTACCTAAGAGTTCCAGGCCAGCCTAGACTGCATAGTAAGACCCTGTTGCAGAAAAATAAACAGTTAGCTGGTAGTTACCTCCATGAAGAGAAGGCAGAAGACAGCAGAGGCAAAGAGGATAGACCTTCAAGGTGACAGGCACATACCCTCTTTTAGCTGAGTGGTGCCCAAGGAAGGGTCCCATGCAACCTTCGGGGAAGGCTTTTCACCCCACAATACCCAGAAGCCATTTAAAAACAACGAGGGGCTGGGGATTTAGCTCAGTGGCACAGCGCCCGCCTGGCAAGTGCAAGGTCGTGAGTTCAATTCCTGGTACCAGAAAAAATCCAAAAAAAAAAAAAAAACAAAAAAAAACATAAAAATAAAAACAACAATGAAAAGACCCTGCCTTCTGAGATCACACACCTGTACCTGCCCTGACCCTCAGCCAGAAGAACGGCGGAACACCAGAAAGCAGCCATGATCACAATTCTGGCGACAGGCAAAGAACAGAACAGCTAACAGCTCCCCAACCAGGAGGACGGCAACAGCAAACAGGGCAAGGGGTGCGAACAGCACTATGGAGACACAGAGAAGAGATTGTTAATGTGAATGTGAATGGCTGACCCGGAGGAACAACGCCCTACTTCCTCATAAGAGATGACAACAGTCCCAGAAGACTACTTGTCAGCTAGGACTGCCCAAAGCCCCATAGGGAGACAGCATGGTGTCTGCCGGCTTGGGGCAGGCTCGGGGACAGGAGGGTCACTGCCACCACCCAGCTCTGACCAGCAATGCCACAGCTGCAGCTTTTGCTGCCATCCTTGCATGGTGCAAAGTGAAGCCTGGACAAGGCCACACACTGTTTGCTGTTTGCAGAAGCCACGACCTGGAAAGGACCCAAACGTCCATCATCCGGGGGCTGGTGAGAGAAGAACAGCCCATCCAAGAAACAGAACACAGTGGGGGAGGAACAAAGATGCACCCTCTGGGCAGAAGTGGAAGATCTCCAGAGACAGGAAGGGGAAAAGCGAAGCATAAAACATGTATTCTGGGCTCTCCATACAGTTCCTTTTTCTTTTTGTCTTTTTGAGACAGTTCAGGCTGGCCTTGAGTTCACTTTATAGCCCAGGCTGGTCTCAACTCGCAGTGATCCTCCTGCCTCAGCCTCCGGAGTGCTGGGATTACAGGCGTGCGCCACCACACCTGGCTCTCCTTACAGTTACAAGGTGGGGAAGTATGTAGCTGCCCTTCGGCTGCGTCCACATAAAGAATGTGAGGGACCGGCGCCAGGCCGGTCACACCTCAGACACCTTGCTCTGTGTCTCCACCTATTTCACTCTTTACCAAGATGAAATTTACATACTGTGCCATTCATTCACTTCCAGCCTACAACTAACTCAGTGGTGCTCGGTGCTTCCACGCGGCTGGGTGACCATCACACAACTGATGTTTAGATGTTTTCCCCAACACCCCTACCCACGGCAACCACCACCGTACTTTCTGTCCCTGGATGTGCCTATTTTGGGCATTTCTCAAAAATAGAACTATACGATATGTGATCTTTTGTGGCCTGCTTCTTTCATATATTTTTGTGGTTTCATTTCTGGTATTGTCTACATATTTTAACTTTGAGGCCAAAGGAACGATAAATAGAAGACTAAATCCAGTGAGCAATTATGCAGTGCAAACGTGTACTAACAAACATTTAAAGATACAGCAGAGTGCTTGGTACATGGGAGGGCTGTCGTGGACGGACCAACCGGCCCGGGCTCGAGATGTGTGGTGGGAGGGAGGGGGCAGCGGCTGCCGCATAGAACAAATGGCCAGGAATAAGCCACCCTCAGGGGATAAGAAAGCTCTCTCTGGGCTCCTGGCACAGGAGCAGGACTGTGGAACCCTAACCCTAACCTACAGCGCGTGCAAAGGCCCGGTGGAACAGGGTGCTGCCAACTCTGGTTTGGTGCAGCTGAAGATGGTAGAAGACCAGCAGAAGGGCAGGATCTGAAGGTCTTCAGTGGCCAGCCATGACGCTGGCCTTCATGCTGGGTGGGGGGGCTGGGGACAGGTGCGTGATCACAAGGGGGTCACACTTGGCAGCACTGACATTGAGGGCCAGAGAATTTCTTGTTGTGGGGCTTTGTGGGGAACACGGCATACCCTCATGTCTGCCTCCAATGTGCCAGTAGCTACTCCTTCCTGTGCCATCTTCCCCTGAGTTGTAATAACTAAAAATGACTCCAGACCTTGCCAAATCCCCCAGAGGAACAAAATGGACCTACACACACACACACACACACACACACACACACACACACACACTGCAATTCACTGGTGTATGAGAGAGCGATGGAAGGGCCCTGAAGGGGCCTGAAGGGGCAGGGAGCAGAGACCAAGGACACTGGTGACTTAGCAAGGAGGTAGAGGCGCATGGAGTCCTTTCTCCCTTGAGCCCCGACACCGCCCTGCCAGGACTACGCTGCATTGCTCTTCGACATACGGAGAAGGGGCTGGGGATTTAGCTCTGCGGCACAGTGCCTGCCTGGCAAGCGCAAGGTCGTGAGTTCGATTCCTGGCACCGGAAGAAAAACAAACAAACAAAAAAAAACAAAAGAAAACAAAACACACAGAGAAACTGAGTCACCAAAGGCCTAAGGCCCACTCGCCACTCAACTTCACTGACGTGAATCCAAGCTCTTGGGCAAAGTCTTCTGACCCCAGAGTGCCGGGAACCTTCAGCCTCAACTGCCTCCCCGACTGCTGGGACCCCAGGTTTGCATTCCCATCTGGAAGCTGCCTGGCTCTCTGTTGATCCCCCGAATTCTCACAACCACCAAGCGGAGGTTCAGAGAAGCTTGGGAGCTGGCCAGGTTTGGAAATGCAGCCCCTAGAGGCCCTGCGTTTTTCTCCATTCCAATTCCCTAGCATGGCATTCGTGCAATTGGCAGGCGGCAGAGCTGGACCAGCTGGGGCAGGCCTGCCCTGGAGGAGCCCAGCATGCCTGCTGGGGGAGCAACAAAGGCAGTCGGCCACGTGGAAGGAGCCCGGGAAGGATGCAGTGGGGACCGGGGCAGAGGGGCCCTGGAGGTGGGCGGCCAGCACAGCTTCTGGCGGGCCATGTTGGAGATGAGTGGGCCGGGCTTGCCTCAGAGGGGCCAAAACGTCCTCTTTCGGGCGTAGGATGTGGGGGCTGGTCAGACCCCAAAACAAAAACCCGGGCAGAGAAGAGCCTGGGTCTGGCGCACCTCAGTGGGGCCGGAACCTTGGGAAGCTGTACACGGGAAAGGGGTGAGGCCCTTACATGGCAGCCCCCTACACGCTCATGGACGCAACTGGGGACCTGGAGACCTCGGGGTGGAAGGGACGCCCCTCTACCCCAGCAGCAACAGTAGCAGCAACTCTGCCACTCCTCTGCCAGAAATCTTGAGTGTGCCGCCTACCGCCTCACCCCAGAATCACCTGTCCTTTCAGAGCTGAGGACCAGCAAACTTAGATCTAAGGAGTTCCCAGGACATAGGGCCAGCAGGAAGGCCCAGGCCCGGCTGCCTCGGGACCCTGATGGACCCCGAGCAGCCGCCTTAAGGCCGTGCAGTGTCCCACCTTCCCGACTGTCCCCTTATGATGCAGGCCTGGGGAAGTGCCGTGGCCTGGCAGCCGCATGTGAGCCCACGGCTGATCCTGGAAAGCAGGGCTTGGACGCCGCGCCTGGCCCCACCCGCAGAGGCCATCTGGTGTCGGGCCCAGCCTGGGCACTGCCGAGGATGTGGCCAGAGCTCTGAACAAAGGGAGCCAGCCGGGGAGGCCTCCGGTCACCACTGTCTCCATCCCTGCAGGACAGGCGCCCAGGATGGCGATGGCGGGAGGGTACGTCAGCACAGGCCCCCGACGCCCTCACACCCAGTGAAGTCCAGACGCAGGGGGAATCACGCCCCCTCCCAGGGCAGGCCCCAGAGCCTTAGAAAGCAGCAAGTCTCAATCCACCCTGAGGGTGGGGGCATGGCAGGGAAGCAGCACTGCTGGGCTCTGCATACATGGTGTTTTATACACCAGTATCTCACCACCCTGTGTCACTCCATTCTGGACAGCGAAGCCAAAGCTAACAAAGTTGTGGCTTACCCAATAGCACACAGCTAAATAAAGAGAAAGCCAGCACCTGGTGAGGTGGCGCACACCTAGAATCCCAGCACTCGGGAGGCTGAGGCAGGAGGATTACCTGGAGTTTGAGGCCAGTCTGGGTCACACACTGAGTTCAAGACCAGCCTGAACTACACAGCAAGACTCTTGATTCAAAAACCCAAAAAACTGCTGGGTGTGGTGGCACACACCTCCCACATGCTCAGGAGGCTGAGGCAGGAGGATGGTTGCAAGTTTGAGGCCAGCCTGGGCTACAAAGTGAGCTCAAGGCCAGTCTGAACTGTGTAGCAAGACCATGTCTTAAAAAGACCAAAGAAACCCAACCGAACAACAACAACAACAAAAAACCCTCAAAAAAGAAGTAAACAAACTGCTAAAAGGAAAAAGCTTCCAAACCCAAGCTCAACAGAGTCCAGAGCCAATACCAAAAGGAGTAAATACGGACCTCGTTCCTAAGATACACGAGATGCCTCTGTGGCTAAACAGGAAGTCCTGCCCCCAGGGAGGTGCAGCGCATGAAGTAGCGATGCTGACTTTTCTGAGAAACTTGGGTTGCCCTTTGGCCGCCAGGGGCTTCCATGTCCCTTCGGCAGCAAGAAGGCAGGGCGCTGCGTGGAGCATGTGCCTAAGTCAGGAGCTGACCCTCAGTCCTGAGCCCAGCAGCCTCAACACACTCGAGTTTCACCCACAGAAGAAGATGAGAACCCCTGCGGCATTGACAAGAACACCAAGGCTCAAAGAAAGTGACTTACCCTGGGTCATACAGTAAACGAGAAGAAGACTGGGGAAACCTGAACTGGGCTCTGCCCCTAAATCCTAACCTTTTCCTATCCTGCCACAGTGAGGCTTCTGCACACCACGTCTCCATTTCTCTTTGGCTTGGCCAACATTTCCCAGACATCCCTGTGGGTAGGCCTTACGCTGGGTACTACGGAGGGAGAATGAACACAGACCTTCATTTAACCTAATTAATTAATTCAGGGAGGAGGTCTTGCTGTGTTGTCTATGCTGGTCTCCAACTCCTGGGCTCAAGTGATCCTCCTGCCTCAGCCTCCTAAGAAGCTGGGACTATAGATACGTCCATGCTCTGCTGGAGAAAGCCTTCCAACCAGTTCCACTGTCCTTCCCTCCACTGTGGACTCTGAGGCTGTTTGAAGGGAGTGTGCACTGCCTCGGGCATGGCCGGGGACCGTGCTCGGTCGCACTTCAGTTTACAATTCGCCGAGGCCTCCCAACAGCACTTGGACAGTCAGGCGGCGGCAACACATACACTACAGGCGGGACAGAGGTCCCAGGCCAGCCGTATGAAGCGAGGGCAGAACCCAGGCCTGTGTATGTCTCCCATGCCATCTGTTCCACTCTGACCTGAGTAGAGGCGTGAGTGCGAAGGGCGCCTTTGCTGGTTTTCTGGAGCAACCTTGGACGGTCACCTTGACCCTGCGGCACCCAGGGTGAGTACCTGGAGAACGGGCTGTCCCGTGCTTGCCCCCAGCCCTGAGGCTCACAGAGCAGCCGTGTTGTCGCCAAGGGGCAGGGACCCTGACCACTGCGGAAGGGGATGCTGGGGTCTGAATGGATGCACTCAGCACATGGGCTGGGTTTCCTTTGCTTAGGCCAGAAACTGTTTATTCTCACTGTCCAAGGAGGGAAACTGAGGCACAGATGTGGTTCACCTGCCTCATGGCATGGCGGCGGGATGAGGAGAGAGCCCATCGAGAGGTCCTGCCACCGGCCCACACGACACCAAGACCCTCTAGTAGCAATCACCACCCGGAAATCTCCCTCCAGACCAAGACTGCAGAGGAAGGGTCGCGTGCAGAAGCACATCCGGGAACAGAGGGTCCCGAGGAGACCCCTTCCCCGTGTTGTCCCAAAGCCAGCCTGGGCTGCATTCCAGGAGGAGAGATCACAGTGCGGGGGCCCTCAACAGGGGTCACGCGGAGGCCCAGGCCTCCTTTCTGTCACCAGCATCTTTATCCAGGACACAAAAGACAGGCATACAATGCAGTCTGGGCTTTCCCATGCCTAGCTGGAGACCCAGGTCAGCCACAGCTGGGAATCAGAGCTAAAAATATGCTCTTTAGCTGGGCAGGGAGCCCCTGCCTGTGATCCCAGAACGTGGGAGGCTGAGGCAGGAGGAACTGCAGGCCAGCCTGGTCTACACAGTAAGTTCAAGGCCAGCCTGAACTACAAAGTGAAACTTTGTCTCAAAAGACTAAAACAAAACAAACAACCCTCCTTCTCCTATCCAGAAGCGCCCCCCTCTTTGTTCCCCATCTGGAGTGGCCCTAGAGGGACTGTGCACCACTGGAGCAGAGTTCTGGCTCCAGACAGTGAGACCCTGGCATCAGGACACTTACCCAAGTAGATGTCCCCAAAGGATCCGCTCCCGATCTTGCGACCCAGGCGGTACTTATTCCCCACACGCAGCTCCATGGTTTATTCTTGCTGCAGAGAGACAGAAACAGTGGGGTCAGCCGGGGTGGTGGCTCACGCCTGTAATCCCAGCATTCGGGAGGCTGAGGCAAGAGGATCACTGTGAGTTTGAGACCAGCCTGGGCTACAAAGTGATCCCAAGGTCAGTCTGAACTGCATAGGGAGACCCTGTCTCAAAAAGACAAAAAAGAAAAAAAAAAAAAAAAAGACCAGTGGTGTCAGAGAACGGAGATCTGGGAAGGGGGCCCCCAAGGATGCATTCCACCCCTTCCCACCAAAGGGCAGGCAAAGCCACCAGGGACCTGGCAGGGTCCTCCCTCCTGCCATCTAGGAAGTCAGCCTTACTTTGCTTGAGGGCATCCAGGTGCCAGGTCCCAGTACCCTGCCCTCCCACAGCTAGAGAATAGCTGAGGCTCAGTATAGCGCTCAGCCTGGCCTGGCAAAAGGTGGAGCGAGCACCAAGGCCAGAGAGGAAACAACATCCAAAAGACAGCATCCTCCTGGGGGACACGCTTTCGGGGACCCTATTGTAGGAGTCTCTCAAGGGGAAGACTGGTCACCGCAAGCCAAGTCTGAAGGGGAAATCAGGGACAAAGAGGGGAGTGGGGGTGTGTGTGCGGGAGCCGATATCCTGCAGGCACTGCTACAGCCATCACCAGCAAGCCCCAAGCTCCGGGCATGGAGGACAAATTCAAGGGAGGGGTCCCAAAGGAGACCTTCAGCACCTTTCCAGGGCTCTGAAATGACAGGGTTCCTGCACCTCCATCCCGGCCACGGAGCACCAGAGGTCAGGCTCTGCACATTGCCTGGTCTGCCTGGGCCCTGCCCCTGCCCGGCCAGGTCTCATCCCTAAGGAGGGGTCTGACCCACTTGGAGAGCACAGGAATCCAGGCAGTTCCCCCCACTGATGACATCAGCAAACCACCCAGGCCTTTTTCCGGGGACCCCTTAGAGGGAGTGTTCCAGCCGACTTCGTTCTGACTAACACGGGTCTAAGCCGAGCCAGGTTTTAAATTGCTGGTGGGGCTCCGATTTGAGCAGTTCCCCTGCTTCCTGAGACCCACGCTGGATGCCGCAAGCCCACAGACAGGGCCCTGGCCAAATGAGGGAACTCAAAGCCCTGGGGGTGGTTCCCCTGCCGGGGGAACAGGAACTGGCAGATGTGGAACATGGGGAGGGGAGGGGTCCCCGCCATCTCTGTGTTTCTAAGAAAGCAGGGGGTGACCAGGAGGGGACTCAGGCCCAGGGAGGTCAGTAGCAAGTCACTGCGCCCACGCCAGTCAGTAGCAAGTCAAAGGCAGTCTCTCATAGGTCCCAAAAGGGGTCCCGCTGCCCCACCTGATGTACACACACACACACACACACACACACACACACACACACACACAGAGCTTATTTTATGCCAGGGCCAAGAGGCAAAATAGAAAATGGGAAAGCACCAATGAACTGTCCCTTTCCATGCCAAGGGCCACCCCCAGCAGCCAGGCCACCTGGGACAGGAGCCGGGCCGATTTACTCCCCTGATGGTCAGGCAAGACCTCCCTCCTGGGACAGAGCCATGGAGCCAACAGCTCCTGGCCAGGACAGACACCCCAGCTCCCGGGAGCAGCCACAGCCTTCCGACAAGCCGCAAGGAAGTAGCTGCCGCCCTGTGCCAGCCAAACTCCAGGCCTTCGCCCACATGCTCAACCTGGCCCAGCTGAGGTGCTGCGGCTGCCAGCAGCACATGCTCCACATCTGCAGGAAGCCCACCTGCCCCACGTCCACTCCCCGCCCAGCTCCCGGGCCTGTCCCTGCCAGGGGAGCAAGGCAGGCCGGCCGGCAGTCGGTGCGGGGGGAGGGGTACGCACATCCCCCCCAGCCCACTTTCCATCAACGCCGACTCAGAGACCACGCAAGCGAGGCAGCCGGGAAAGCCGCAGGTTAGGAAAGGAAACATAAATATCCCGGCATCCTATATTACATAAATACCCATGCCGGGTTATATAAATACCCGTGCCCTCTGTCTGGGTCTTACATAAATACACCGCACATGACCCCCGGCCCCCTCCCCGCACCGGGCTGCAGCAGAGGAGGAGAGGGGCGCGCCCTCAGCCTGCAGGACCCCACAACCGCTCTACGGCTGCCACCCAGACCGCCGGGGTCTCCCAGTGGCGGGCGCCCGGGATCCCTGGGACGGTACAGTCTGTCCCAGCACTGCCTCCCCCAGAGCCCCCCAGAAGACAGCAGCCGGGTTTCATCTGGCACCGGAGCAGCGTTCCAGTCCTCCGGCTGCGACTCCCAGTGAGGTGGGGTGGGGTAGGGGTGAGGGGGCAGAGACAAAGTGCGGGAGAAAAAAGGCGGACACGAAGGTTCAGGAGTTTCAGCTGCTTAGGGAAATTAGACAACTACCAACCAGTGCGGACGGGGTTTTCACTTCCTGACGCCTCCCCGCTTCCCCAGAGCCAGGACCCTTGTCACTGACCCACGAAAATAAAACCCGAAAGCACGGCTTAGATCGAAAGACCGAGGAGCCCCAGACACCGGCATTCACTGGAAGCAACTTACACACTCTTTCCCCTTCTCTCTCCCCAAATCCTTCTCCCTGGGGGAGGCTACGCCGTGGGAAGAATAGAGTAAAAAACAACAACAAAAAAAAAAACAAAAAAAAAAAACTGAGGCCAAAGTTGGGGAGGGCGCTGGCCTCACTCCGAGTCTGGCACGCGGAGGAGCTGGGGGCGTCTCTAAAGGTCGGGGTACCAGTCCCATGGTGGCCCGCAGAACAAGCGTTTCTCACACGGGAGGAAAGGGAGAATCCCAGCTGATAAATAACCCCCACCCTTCCTCTCTCCACAAAGGAAAACAAAGCTGGTGGCCCGGGGGACCACACACTCCAGCAGCCCGGGACCTCAGGACGCTCCGATCCAACAGGCGGGGACAGCCTTGGTGACCCTGGGTGCGGGGCACCAGGGCCACGCTTGGAGGGGGGCGCTGCTGATCGTCCTGAAGCCCACACAAGCCCAGGGCTGGGCCGGGAAGCCCCAAGCCACAGGACCGGTGCCCTCGGCTCCGCGGCCCCAGCCCCCTTCCTCGCCCGCTCCGAATGCCAGCCGGGGTCGCCCCCAGGCTGGGGCCCAAGGGGGAGTCTAGCTAGGGGCGCGCCGGGCTGGGGGGGCCCTCTCCGGGCAAGCGTGCAAAATAACAGTCCCCCTCCTCCGCGTCCCCGGCCGCGCCTTTGTCCTCGCCGGGCCGGGCGGGCGGCGCCCGGACTGCGCCCCCTCTGCGCGGCGCGAACGCGCGTGTGTCGCCCTCCCCGCCCTCCTTCTCCCAGCAAAAACAAAGAGGCGGAGGGAGCCCCGTTTCCCCCCGGCTCGCGCCCCTCCGCGGGCCTGCGGCCCCCCGATACTCACCCCGCCGGGAAGG